AAATTATATCTAAACTAGTTTCAGAGATTAAAAAATATCTCTTTAAAAAACAAATTCAACTCCCTGTAGCAAAAAGTTGAAGCCGTTGCGTTATGACCCGAGGAATCACACCCTACAATATTAGCATACCATTAAAAACACCCTGTATAAATTGTAAAAACAGGGAAGACATTTTGAATTTTTAAAAAGTAATTTATGATCTGTTATCTTTGATTAGATACCAATTTTATCAGAAACCAATTTTATCAGAAACCAATTTTAGTCGAAATCTGATGATAAAAATAAATGTTTTTTTAACTGCTCACCCTGTATAACCGGTTTTGAGCTAAGAGGAAGCCTTACCTGCATAGAAAATTTGAAGTTTTTAAGCTATCGCGCCAACAGGCAGGCTGCAGACAACAGACGGTATGAGGAAAACATGTTTTTCGTAATCTAGGGACACGAAAACGTGAAAATCTAAATTTTCACGATTAAAATACTTCCCTTCTATCGAGGGAAGTAAAAATAAAATAAGTATACTCAATCTCTCGATTGCTTCTCTACTATTTTTAAAAGTGATGTATTAGTCTCCTTAGTTTTTTTTTGTATGTTGCCAGCTGGCTTTAAAGCTTTAAAGTCACACTATATCTCTTGCTCGTACTATACCTCTAGTACTCACATTTTTATTAAAAAGCTTCGATTTTATTTTTTTACTTGCATGTGAACCACCTTAATCCGACCTTTGTATAAAATTAATATAAATCCACATTGCGAAGGGGAGTCATATTTAATCGTAGCAATGTATCTATTTTAACGTGAATTATAAAATAAAAATTTGAATAATGTATTTGTATATTTTGAAAATGTCACTACATTTATTTAAAAACGATCCACCCTGAATACATTGATATTGTACAAAATCGCTGAAAACGTATTTTTCCACCATGCTGAGAACCAAAAAATGTCCAGGTGGCAAGTCTTATAGGTACAGTCAAAACGCCGCAGGCTATACTCGAAAGCCGTAGCGAAAAAATACAAATCCTTGCCCTCGTGTGGCGGTGCCCATGCTGAGAACAGTTGAATTTTGTTTCGAGGAGTGTTAAAATTAACATGTCATTTAATATTATTCAATATTTGAAATCTGGTTGGCTGTGAAAGTCAAACATCACTCACTCTGTATTAGGCCACGGTTCGTAGACTTAAAGGGTTGCCTCGTCCGGTTGCTATGGACAGAGGTGTGACCTCACAGAATGAAAAATAGAGCTGAGAGAAAATATTCTACTACATTAATTTTTTAAAAAAATCCAATATTTTATGAATATTTAGTGGTGTTTATATTTTTATTTTTGCACTATTTACCTGTGCGTTAGAGTTTTTATAATATCGGTAGTTTGATTTTTTGAAAGTCAAGCTTCAAAAGAGCAAGGGAAAATCATGTAATGATTTCCATCAAATTTCAAATGAAGTACTTTTTATTTGAAGAGAGATATTATTGTGTGAATGTTTTATTTTAAACATTTTGAGTTAGGGTACGGCTTCTGAGCCGAACTCAGTCCACACTTTGTTTATCCCCTAAAATGTTTTGAAATTTTGGCAAGCCTGGAGCTGTTGGCAAACAATTTTTACACACCAAAATCATTAGAAGAAAGAGACTGAGTCTAAACTGAAATTAATGGTTGATGGTAAGATTTTAGAGTATTATTCTGCAATTATCATTCACTATTATTAAATAAATTGTAGCTTCGTCCGCCTTACATTCGAAAGCAGATGAGATAGTTTCTTACAAGCATTAAACACAACTAAGAGCAAGTAAAGTCAAAAGGATTTGTTACTAGAAGTTTTTAGTAAAAGTGAGTTTCAAATCACTTTAAAGAAGAAAACAAGGGCCTTTTGGAGTTCGAAAGAAATTTCGAAAGCATTCACGATAAGATATTTGAGTAAAAGGTGCGCTCTTTACCTCAGAAATACTCCCTTGCTGAGAATTTCAACTTGACAAAAGTGTGCTACTAAAATAAATCCAAGATGTGGTCTTTTGGATGATGGGCGAATAATGGGCATTTCTGTAATGTTAAAGACTGAATTGCAGATAATAACAGTTCAATGTCCCAATTAACGATGCTCGAGGTCTGGAATCTGTATTCCAGAAGAAGTTTGGTCGATTGCCAGAACTTCAAGGTCAGTTGGCAGCCCTTGCAAAAGCCTTGAAACTTTAAGATGGATTGCGTTACCTTTTCTATTTGGTAACAAAGAACATTTACGAGATCGATCCACTTATCATGATGTATGGAAAACATTACTTAGTCTGAGGGAGCACGCACTGGAGTCCAATTTACAGAAACTAGTCGTGCCAAAGATAGAGAGTAACCATCTGAATTGGAGGATTATTAGAGAAATGGTGGAGGTAATCTTCCAAGATACCGAAGTCCAAAAACTGGTCTGCAGCTATTCGCCTAGTGTCCAGGTTGCAACGAAAACCGTTCCTTGTTATTTCTATACAAATGCAAATTGTAAGAGCTAGTCCATTTGCAGATACAACCAGATGCAAACATTCGATATTAGTTCCAGGGGGTAATGTCGTGTAACCGCATCAGAGACCAACCCTGTTCTTTATTGACTTTCACGTCCTTCACTACAGTCGTTACCGTCTGACACTGGTATGAAGACTAGAGATAAGGAGGTGAATCGACATACTCAAAATATTATAGAAACTTGTAATTAAATAAAAACTAGACTTCGTAAGATACAAATTGTGAATAATTTACAATAAATATTATATTTAGACATGAATACATTATTTTACTTACATGAGAAGCTTTAAAAAGACATTTAATTGATTTCTTCTTGTGTTTTCTTTAGTTTTACATTTGATTTTTACAATCTGGAACGACGTAAATCTTGATTTGATGCTTTTTGTCACTCATGTTACTTGTACTCAGGTACTTTTTTCGCATTATTTTGATTCTTTTCACCATTTTTTTAAAAAATCACTTCATTTTACATTGACTTACATAGAAAATTGACACCGCTGTTATTCGACATGCCAACTACAGTCAATTTCGCGAACTTTATAAAAAGAAGGACGTAAATTTTAAATTTGACCATTGCCGATTCGCCTCCTCTCTAGTCTTCATATACACTAGCACGCAGTGTTGCCGCGACGGTTTTTAAAATTGTACTGATTTTTTTTTTTTGAAAATGTACTGAATTGGGAAAAGATGTACTAAATAGGTTCTTTCGTTCGTCCAACTGGTGTAGGAATGAACTACACTAACGGACATTATACTTTTCGTTTGGCCCGGTGTAAAATCCACTACATATTCCTGTCGGCGCTGTGGTGTCCACTGGTAGATATTTTCTCCACCAGCTATTTAGCAGGATTGAGTTACACTCGACATATGTATAAGGAATAAGGAGGAAGTAAACTAGGTAAATAAGGTGGTGTAATTTACACTAATGGACACTGGACGAACAGCGGACGTAAAACCTTATATAAAATTTTTATATTAATATATTTATATATATTTGTAATTCTGGTTCTAAGTCACTCATATTATATTCTCTTGCCAAAAAACATTCCTTATTTATTAACACAATAAACACAGCGATTACAGATTACGAACTAAAAAATCAGAGAACGGAAAACCTAGTGCGTCCGGAACATTATTCGGTAATTCCCCTAATTTCCCTATAGTGTCAAGTCAAGCTATTTTGTTAAAACTGCTTAGTTATGGCAGTACAAGTACTACTCAATAATTTAAACTTTAACAGTTTAAAAAATCTGTGTTTGTTTTAATTATAAATTAAAAGACCAAATTTAAAAAAAAATACTTTTAAATAAGATTTGTTTATCCAAACGCTTCAAACTTTGCTTTTATTCTGATTTTTGCATGTCGTACTGAATTTCGAGATTTTTTAAAAAGTTGTACTGAAGTACTGAATCTAATCATTTTGTTCTGAATTCAGTACAATTGTACCGAAACGGCAACACTGCTGGCACGCTGCTGATCGAGATTTGATCAGAGTGTTTTCCCTGTACGCAGTCCGACGCGTGGAGGAATTTCGAGAACTTCTAGACTAACTCGAGCGTTTTAGTCAAGATTTGATTTTTTTCTAGGCTGTTATATTTTTGTATATAAGTGAATTCTTTTGCCGTTTAAACTAAGATTTAATATAAATGTTCTCAAGTAAAGGGTAATTGAAATGAAATATAAATATATATAAATTAATTAATTAGTACTTGGTGTAAATAAATTATAAATGAACTGTTTTAATTAAATTAAATATTTATAAAATAAACAATCGTTACAGTATAATGTAACTCGTGTAATTCAGTTTCAAGCGAGGTTTCAAGTTAATAAGAACAGTAAAAACATTTCGATTCTCATTTCATGAAACAGGTTTGAGTTAAAAAAAAATGTTCTTCGATAATTTACTTAAATTCAAAATTTATTAATTACGAAATATTTTATTTCAACGGGGAAATGTTTTGATCTGCGTACCATGATTTCTAAAAACAGCTACGTCTGCAGAGTGATCCTAACTTTTCTAAAAAATATTTTAATAGTTATAATTTAATACTATTCTTAATTTTTAAGATATCGCCGGTTTAGTACAGAACCAGATTGATCCAAATAAAACCCAACAAGATAATAAATATTTTAACAAAGGTTCAAAAGCATCCATACATACAGTAGTATAGGCTTTTATATTGTTCAATGTTTAATAATCAGGATGGATCGTTTTTAAGTGTGTCTATAAAATATTCAGGAATTTTACTTTATATATTTGCTACAAACCTTGGAATTATAGTATTCTAAGTATTTAACGGTTCTGAATAAAATTTCTGATTTTTGAACATAATAAAACCTGCCATGGTCAGAAATAAATAAAATATGTATTATTTGTTTATCCTTTTCTCTTTTATATAAATTCTATTATTAAAAATGACTACTAACTGCAGTGAAACAACTACATATTTTTATTTATGATTATTTATTTATTTGAACTTATGTTTTTAACAGGATGTAGTAGCTAACGGAGGAGTTCTCAATCAAGAAGATGACCAAGGATCAGTCCAAGTCTTGGGAATGGAAACTACAGCTAGTTACGAAGGTGGTCAAAAGTGGATACGACCCGATTCACCGATTCTACCAGTCTCGCACACACCTGAGCCACCTGAACCAGAAGTACCACCACAAGTATGTACCACAATCACTCTTTAACAAAGTAATTCATTTTTAAATAAATGAAGAGATAAACTGAAAATTTTATAGAGATATATTTTGTCGGTGTAATTTCTGAAACAAACACAAACGAAGGAAGTTCAGGAATAAATTCCGGTACCCGAAGGGGTAGAAACAAACCAAAGAAAGATTGTCTTGAAAAAATCCACTTCAAGCAGGATTCAAACCTTCGCCCTGTGGGACCAACGTCATAACATTAGACCACCGGAGCGATATAATACATCTAGTGGCCTATTTGTTTATACTCTTATCTCAAATTAACAATTAGGTCGCTGGATGTATATCGCTCCAATGATCTACTGTTTATGACGTTGGGGCGGTCCATAGGTTCAAATTCTGCTCAGATATTACGCTTTACAAAGTCGCAAGGACATTTTGCTTGAAAAAAGGACAGGTGACAACCCTAACTCAATTGTTAGTATCTATCAAGCCTGATGATGGCTTTTATGCCAAAACCGGTTGCCTACATTTTTTTAATAAAATATTGTGTGGTATGGATTTTGTGTCTCCTTTCTCGTACGAAAACAACCTCATTAAGGAGTCGAATAACATTCTTGACCTAAAAAGAGAAAATTTGATTTTGTCATTTTAGATAAACATTAATTCTTTAAATAGTAAAATAGCGAATTTAAGATTTAATTTAAGTAAATAATCCAAAAATAATTTATTTTGTACGGAATAAATGTGAGAGAAAAATGTACCTTTATAATCGCGGATATCATCAAATGAATAATAAAACTTGATCTTTATTTGTTATAATCATAAATATTTAAAAAGATAACTATTTTGTTGAGGACTGGTTAAATGACACTTTACATATAGTTATAGTATTATAAAAGAATGATCTACAAAAAAAAAGTTTATAAAAGGCCATGCCTGACAATGAGAGGGATATAGTCATGTCCCAATTAAATCTAAACTAACACTTATAAAGAAGAAAAATTGTACAGGGTGTCGGATTAAGGACTCGTAGCGGCTGTATCTTAGAAACTATTGATCCTACGGCTACGAAAAAAAAAAAAAATTTATAACAAAAACGGTCAAGAGAAAATGCTGGAAATTATTTTGAACTTTCTATTTTAACCGTTAGAGGGCGTAATTCGCTATGGTAATTCAAAAAAAATCACTTTTCCCCTATACATGTCTAATAGTAGTATGATGATAATAATAATCGAACGGTAATTTTGATTAAATTTTACAAAAGTTTTATTCAACACTTTTTGCTCTATTCAATAAAATAAGAGGTAGGGGCGATTGGGAACCTTAATTTAATAAATGTATTATAACTACGGTGTCGTTTATCAGATTTTAAAAAACTTTGTATCGATTAAAAGCAAATTGATTGTTTAGTAAAATATTTCAAAATAGTTCTGATTCAGTTGTTTAAAAGAGCACTAGGTGGCGTTGTATAAGCAGTAACCATTTTTTTGAAGTTTTCTTAAAAAATTTAAATGGAATATTATAATTTTTATACGTTATTTAGAAAGAAAATTAAATTCTGACAAGAAACAAAAAAAAACCGCGTCTTTTTATCTTTTTCCTAACCGAATATAAGCAGAAGTCTATTAAGGGTAAATAGTCCACTTAAATATTAATAAATAAAGTTATTGATATATTAATCAAGTTGGCTTTGAAATGTCAGTAAGCTTAAATGTCAAATTAATTATATTTTAATAAGTTAAGTTTAATTCCGAAGCTTATGACATGTTAAAAGTATATTTTGAATGTTTTGAGAACGCCCCGATTGCATCCAGAGAATATGCATTGAGATATCCTCAGCGAGTTTTACAAACAAGAGAAACATTTAAAAATCTGGCGATTCGTTTAAAAGAAACTGGCTGTGTTCAACCTAAAAAAGCTATTCAACGATGTAGAAGAAGCAGAACGGAAATTAACGAAATAAATATATTAGCATACGTTGCTGCAAATCCACATATAAGTATACGGAAAATTGCTTCCGACTTAGGACTTACTAGGTACTGCGTTTGTTCTATTTTAAAACAAAATCGTCTCCATCCATACCATGTAGCCCTTCATCAAGGTCTGAAATTAACAGATTATGATAAAAGACTGGATTATTGTAATTGGCTTAAGAATATGCTTAATGAGGATCCACAATTTTTATCACATATAATGTCCGACGAATCTACATTTTCCAGTAATGGATCTGTAAACAGGCATAATATGCATTACTGGTCTGACCACAATCCTCATTGGATGCGAGAAGTTTTTAATCAAGGTCGGTGGTCAGTAAATGTGTGCTGTGGAATTTTAGACGGTAAAATCACAGCTTATACTGTAGTGTTTTTGTTTCACTTTTTACTCATCCCGTATTATATTATGACAGTTAGTTAGTTTTCTCGTAACCTCTACTGCGCATCTTAGGCACAGATAAAAGAAGGACAAAGGAATAGAAAAGGATGTAACGATTCCGGAGCATTCCGGGTTTTTCAGTTGTTTCCAGGAGAACAAGATTGCTGTGACAACAAGTAACAACATGAGACAGAAGAAAAAAGAATAATATAAAAAGTCAGATACCTTATAAAAACATAAAATACAAAAATAAATAATAATTCTACATTTTAACTATAACGATTTATTTATAACTTGGTAGAGATTCGGCTGTCTCCGTATTAATAATCGCCGAAATCTACATATACAATACAGCTAAAACACTCTCTTGGCGGCAACGGTTTGCGTCGATTTCGTCGCGCATCGCTTAAGCTCCGCCTTCGAAGGGAAAAGACGGTTTTGGTGTTCAGAAGCGTACTTAGGTAAGGTGTTGAGTCGTGCGTATAATTTCGTTGATTGTATAATTTCGTGGAGCCTATAATTTCGTTGATTGTATAATTTCGTGGAGCCTATAATTTCGTTGATTTTGTTTGAGTTAAAGGTACTGTTATTATTTTGGTGACTCTTTAGCTTTGAGTAGAATGAGTGAAAAAAAAAGACATCATTCTGTTTGTGCAGTCAAAAGCTGTTTTAATAAGGGTTATACCTGCAAGAAAACATTATTTAGTTTTCCCAAGGACCCAAACCGATAAGTACCACATTATAAGAAATTTTCATTGTTAAAAATATAATTTATACAGGGTATCCCATTAGTGCGTTATTGTTCATTATTTTGTTGTAGACACGCAAGAAAGTTTTAAATAAAAGTTATATGGATTTGAAAAATACCTACATATTTTAAAAATATCTTTGGATATACAGGGTGTCACGTTTTTGCCTGGCAAATTAAAATGTATGTTTTTTTAAATGGAACACCTTGTATTTTATTTTATGATAAAATTATTAACACCCTAAATTATTGTAAAGACGAATTGATACAGAAAATTTTTATCAGGTATGTGGATCCACTCCTCTGCGATACCTGTCTTAAATATAACAAAGATCACGTTGAATTAGATGATTTTTCTTTTTATTGCTTTTTAAAGGCATATGATAACGCCAATCCAGATACATTTGGAAATCTGCAACTGTCAAATGATGAATTTGTAGAACTAATATTCAATATTGAAAAGATATTTCAAAATAATTTTGAAGAATTGGCTACAAAAAATAACATTTGTACCACACTTTTAGAATTAATTAACCCAATACCCTTTAGTCATCCATGCTAACGTTTTCCAAAAGAATAACTTATTTTATTGTATGTTTAATCTCAATAACTAAAAAATATACTGACAATTAGTTTGACAGAATTGTCATTTATTTAAAATTTTAAAAATAATAGCAGTCGGTTGATCAAAATATGAACGGTGATTGGCGAATTTATTTTTTTTTGCAGTGTTCTCACTACCTAGAATGGATATGAAATATATTCGTTCAATTGAAGGCAATAGCATACTTTTTCGTTTTGTAATCTGTGCATGGATATTAGCCAATCTATGCACATACTACAAAACGAAAAAATATGTTATTGCGTTCAACTACGAATATATTTCATATCCATTTTAGGTAGTGAGAACACTTTAACAAAATTAAATCTACAAATCACAGTTCATATTTTGGTCACCCAACTCCTATTATTTAAATTTTTTTAAATAAGTGACAATTCTGTTAAACTAATTGTCAATATATATTTTAGTTATTGATATTAAATATACATTAAAATTTTTGTGTAGACTCGATAAATAATAGCATTTTTGTTTTTATTGTGTCCACATTTAAAAAAAAAAAATTTTTAATCAAACTACATGATACTAATTTAATTACGAGTATTAAAACTAAAGTCCTGAAAGTTTCGGTGAAGATGAGGACAGAGCATCTGCCTTCCACGCGAAAAGCCCGGGATCGAATCTAGGCCGAGGACTAATTAATTTTTCATGTTAATTTTATTTTATAAATTAATCAACTACGTAAATTATTTTAAAATTAGTTATTTTGTCTAAATAACCTAAAATAATTTTTTAAATTTGTAGATTTTCGTTAGTGGGTCGTAGAAAAAATATACTGACCATATCGAGTGGATTGTTCATATCACAATCAGACGATTGAGTACTCCGCATACGACGTCGTGCTCAAACTTCGTCTTTGTGTGATATTGCTATCATATCCACCCTTGTTGAACAAACTATAATTTATTTGTTTTCTTGGTTTAAACCAAAACTTAAGTTTTACATCAGAAATAGGAACTAAATTAATTTACTTTTCAAGTTTTCTTATAAAAATCGATATTACTTTCTCCAAGTACAAATTTAGTACCTACCTAAAAGAAGTACTAATTATGTAATATCGTGTAATATTGTAATTCAAATTTCACATTACTATAAAGTTTCAAAATTCCCTACTTCGGTATGGCCAGATAAAAATTGAATATATTATATTAATAAAAACTGTCAAAGTATTACTTCTACAAATCTGTATTTCAATTAATAAGAATACATCTAAATATAACCAATATTGTTAAAATAAAAGCACAAATTCTTTATAATTCCAAAATACCATAGAGTTCCCAGACCTCAGTCGAAGCATTCGTTTATCTAGGTATAAACCCTTTGCGCGAAGAGTAACACTTGCCAGAGACACGGGTACCACTTGATTTGCATCCACGAGCGTGACACAATTCTTTAACAATTGAAGCCCTTGGTGTAAAAAGGATCCAAGCCACAATTTGTCGTGAAGTGACTGTTTTAGCTCAAAACATTTGTTAACGAGGATTTTACTAGCCACATACAAATTATTTTACCTCTAATCCGAAAGATGTGCTATTTTTCGTAATATTTATATTTAAATAATGTTTCTAATTATATTTGACAGATTTAAAACAAATTAAAAATTTAATTTTCCAAAACTTACTTAATATGGCATGTAACCAACCTTATTACGCCAAGGTTTTCAATTTTTTCAATAATAAAAAAATTGTTTAATCCGGGCCCGACTTTTCCCTCGAATCTAACAGAGATAGCACCATTCCGTCTTGCTTGGTTCTCGACCGCCAGATCAAAGACGCCGACACGGAGTTGTGGAGCTATATTGTATAAGCTGTGGTAAAATTATAGGTCCTATTATTATTAATGAAAATTTAAATGGTGAGCGACATTTAAGATTACTGAGAGACGAATTGCCTATTTTATTAGAAAATATTTCACTAGAGGTACGCCGTAATATGTGGATACAGCAGGATGGCTGCCCAGCACATTATACAAATAATGTAAAAGACTTTTTAAATCAACATTTTCGGAATATGTGGATTGGAAGAGGTAGTCTATTTCCATGGCCACCAAGATCTCCCGACCTCACCGTATTAGATTTTTATTTGTGGGGTCGACTTACAGATTTAGTTTACCAAACTCAGCCTGTAAGTAGAGAAGATCTAATTCAACGAATACAAACTGAAATTGATCATATTCCTAGGGCTGAAATAGAAGCTGCTGTCAATTCAACTAGACAGAGACTTGATATTTGCATTGAAAAAGATGGAAAACAATTCGAGCACTACCTCTAATTCTTGTATTGCATTCTCTATTTTGTTCTGTGTTTAGTTACTTATTTTGTATTATTTTATTAATATATTCAATTTTTATTTCGCAATTAGTTTTATTAAACCAGTAAACTTACACTAAAGAGTTAATTTAAATCCGATTTTAGTATTTTTTGTCTTAATCGCTTTACAGTTAAGCTATCGAAAAATTACTGACGTTTCAAAGCCAACTAGATTAAAATATCAATAATTTTATTTATTAATATTTAAGTGGACTATTCACCATTAATAGACTTTTGCTTATATTCGGTTAGAAAAAAGATAATAAGACGCGGTTTTTTTTTGTTTCTTGTCAGAATTTAATTCTCTTTCTAAATAACGTATAAAAATTATAACATTCCATTTAAATTTTTCAAGAAAACTTAAAAAAATGGTTACTGCTTAAACAACGCCACCTAGTGCTCTTTTAAACAACTGAATCAGAACTATTTTGAAATATTTTACTAAACAATCAATTTTCTTTTAATCGATATAAAGTTTTTCAAAATCTGATAAACGACACCGTAGTTATAATACATTTATTAAATTAAGGTTCCCAATTGCCCCTACCTGTTATTTTATTGAATAGAGCAAAAAGTGTTGAATAAAACTTTTGTAAAATTTAATCAAAATTACCGTTCGATTATTATTATTATTATCATACTATTATTAGACATTTATAGGGGAAAAGTGATTTTTTTGAATTACCATAGCGAATTACGCCCTCTAACGGTTAAAATAGAAAGTTCAAAATAATTTCCAGCATTTTCTCTTGACCGTTTTTGTTATAAAATTTTTTTTTTTTGGAAGCCGTAGGATCAATAGTTTCTGAGATACAGCCGGCTGCGAGTCCTTAATCAGACACCCTGTACGATCCGATCCGTTAATTTTTCCAATGCATACTTTAGAAAAAGAATTTGTTTATCACTCCATTTTTAAAATTTAAGATAATTAATATGATAACAATTAGATTGTTGTTTTTTGTTTTTTTTTTCAAACAACCTTTTCTACTTCGATTTAATAAAATCAAACTATTAGACAAATTTTAATTTTTTATAGGAAATTTTTTTAGAAGGTTCTCTGCCTCCCCAATCGCATCTTCTGGTTACTGACTCGGCCACGGAAGCTCAAAAGACAGAACATGAAGAAGATCCAGCCGTAGTACTAGCTGGAAAGATGACTTTATCTGTCATTAGCCTCGAATCAACTGGTAAGTATAAAAAATGATAGAATGATGAATTGATTATCCAGAGAGACTTTTTTCTGTTGTAAATTTGAATGTTCTTAAAATAATATCACCTGTGAATGCCTAGATAGAATATGGAAGGAATAAAATATTTATTGATCTTATGTTTTTCTTTGTATTAAAATTTTCCTATTATTTATAATTTTATATTTAATAATAGAAACATACAGTATTTACATTTTCGTGAAGGATGTGTATATGGCTCTTTCTTAAAACTGGTATTTTAAGAATAAAATAAATAAGAGTCACGTTCTAAAGTACAGTGTGTCTATGGAACCATATGGAAAACATTTTTATTATTGATTTTAGGAAAAAAAGTTATTCTTGATAAAAAGTCCTGCATGACCCAAAACTTAAAATACAGTCATTAGATATCAAATTTTTCAAGCCGTATACGAGGTTTGTCAAAAAATATGAATTTTGCTCAAGAGTAAAGTACGTTTATTTTTTTACAAAATCGAAAATTTTCATTAAGAAATTTGCTAAATTCTTCACAAACATCAACAAAAGGAAAGCGTATCATGTTTATAGTAGCTAACATAATTTATAACGTTTTCAGATATTTACAATCAATGTGTAGCGTGTAGAGTTTATAAAAAATAAGAAAAATCTGTTTTTTTCAGATAGATCGGTGTAATTGCATATTTGAATGTAATATTCAATTCTAATCAACTTTTCTTAATGAAAATTTTCGATTTTGTCAAAAATAAACGTACTTTACTCTTGAGCAAAATTCATATTTTTTGACAAACCTCGTATACAGCTATGTGATGACTGTATTTTAGGTTTTGGGTTATGCAGGACTATGTTACCTATAGAAATAGGTAACATAATCGTTTACAATTATACGTGAAATACAATATCGAGCAGGATACAGCTCTTTTGCTAAAATTTTCGATCACAACTGAGCACATTTCTGTATCTTTACGCGAGTGTTACCACACGATTTTTCGAGACTTTTTGTTACCTGATAATGGGTCCTATGATTGAACGTTTATGTTATCCGTAACGTACATGTTAGGCCGAGTTTTAACAGTAATGAGGCAAGTTCGTATGATGGAAATCTTTTTCCAACACGTTACTGTTATTTTCCGCCTGTTATCTTCTAATTTAACAGTTTTCCATCATCCGAACTTGCCTCGTTACTTTTAAAATTCGGCCTAACATGTACGTTACGGATAACGTAAACGTTCAATCATAGGACCCATAATGAATACGGATTTTGACAATAAATGGTTCCAATAAGACAGTGCAACATCTCACACAGTTGAGAGACCTTCTGGAGTAGTTCGAAATGGATCCCTAACCCACCCGTAACTTGCTACCAATTTGTTGTTTTTAAAATTATGTGCCAACATGGCTAAATGACTTTTTATTGTTACAAAAAGAACTTTCATATATTGTTCTTCCTTGTATATTTTGACCCATTAATTCACATTTGCAAACATTTCTAGTTTTTTTGTTGGTTTCACATCTGCTCCACAGCTCCAACTTTCTACAAAAACTAACTTTATCACTGGCATCCAACATATGTGTGTTTGCTCCTTGAAGTTATAGATTCAGGGTATTTAATTTCTCGAATATGTTGACCAAGTAACTTAATTTCATCACAAATAAAGCATCTCGGAAACTTTTTGGCTTCCGGGCGGTTTTCTTCTTCTATAAAGGTGGCAATTTCCTCTTTTAACTCAAAAACACTTTGTAAAAATTTAACACGCGATAAAACATCTGCCCTCACAATAAAATAGCAATGTCGAATGTTCTGCACTCATATCTTTGCAAAGTGAATTAAAGATTATTGATTTTAGGGGTCTTATTTTTATATAATTTACTATAGTTACAACCGACGTTAGCACAATGTTGAGACTCATTTCTTTGGAAGCCAGGGCTTTTCTGTGGATCATGCAGTGGGTCGACACATTGCGGAGATTTTTGTTTCACAATATCCATTGCAGCTGGCATAATAAGGTGTAAGCCTTTTTACATCTGGGTATTTTATATACTTCGTAAGAGGCAAGTAAAGCTTTTTCGTTCACAGACAAAGTTTTGTTGAAGATTGATGTTTGCTTTTCATATGACTTTAATTTTAATTCAAAGAATTCTCGGGGCTTGTTAACGTACTCATTATGAAGTGTTTCCAAATGGCGTTTAAGTTTATTAGGTATCATAGTGTGCTGCTGTGTTTCTGTATCGGGGCAGCATTGCCAAGTTTCAAAAATTCACCTATTCTAGGTAATTTTGAAGGTCTGCAATTAATTTCTATATTAGGGTTTTAGGTCTGGAGTCTAGAGTACTAACAACACGCTGCACTAAGGGGATTAAGGTCAAAATTTTCAACGCATATTATACGTCGTATTTTATTATTATATAAAAAAGAAAGGTGGGGGGCGCCATAAAAATTGTTATTGAAAATTGGGTCTTGGATACTGAAAGGTTGAGAAACGCTGCTTTAACGATCGAAAATGTTAAAACTTTGAAAAAATAAAATAGCGTCACATATTAAAATTATAAAATCCAGTCACTAATTAAATTCAAAATAATGGTTTAGAGAATTTTTTTCTAGAATAAACTTTTCGTATTAAATATGTTTCTTCCATGACTTGATAAATGATTTCTATTTTTAAGTTTTAATTTTCTATGAAGATTATAGCAGTGATCCTGTGGTATTACAAATATAGGTATGTTAAAACAGTTTGAAAATATTTCCCCAATAACATTTGTGTTTTAGAAAAGCTAATAAATAAGTAAAAATATACATTTTATAGTATTAACAGCATACGATGTGCGTCATAAGTGTTGTGTTAACTCATTTACAGCAACATTTTAGAGAAATTTATGCACAAATAGATTTTTGTATCTATTTTTATAAACTACTTTTTTTTACGACCTGCAATCAATATTAAAAATAAAAAACTAAAAAGATAATAGGTATGTCAATTTCAAAGACATACCAATTTGGTTAAAAGTAAACTGTCAATGGTAAACAAATTATGGCACACTAATATAGCGTATATATGGGATGACGATAGACAAAACAAGCCAAAATTAATAAATAAATATTAAATTTTCACAGTAATATCTCAAGTATTAAAATGATTTTTTTTTTGACAAAAATTAAAAATGTAATTCGTCAGAAATAAAAATCGACGTGATCGAAGAATTTCTCAAATTTTTTCTAATACATAACACTTATAATGCAAACCGGCGTATAATTTTTAACATAATACAATTTTTTTATCACGAACATGTTAGTTGGGTAATCAAGTGCGTGAATCTCATTGGTTTAAACAAATAAGTTTATTTTTCTGACTTTTTACTTTCCTGTAACCAGCAAGGAAAGTATAGGAATCATTATTTTTTTCCACTCGGATTTTTGACTGATCTTTACATTATAGGGTCCACTGCATCCGTTTTGATAATTTTCGGGATGATGTCTGTCTGTGTCAACGATAACTCGGATAAATAAAAAAACGGGAAAAGAGAAAAACACCAAATTTTAACTTTAGCTTTGATAGATTATGCGATGAGCTGATTAGATTTACTTCATAGGAGAAGTGTTTCTACTTTAAGATGTATTTCTGTTATTTGTTTTTACAGAAGAAAATTGAATAAGAGTTGCTTGTGATGTCCCATACATGATTTCTCTAAAATGAATCGAAATGGAAAAATTTCAGGAAAAGTGCAAAAGTTTATTTTTTTCAGTATTTTCGTTCGCAATGAAGGAAAAAATGCAGTTTATAGTGAATTCTCATTTGAAACAAAAAACTATCAAGCCTTCCAAACACAGAAATAAAAGAAATCTCGGCGGTCTCATGAAATTTACCCCCTCCTCCCAAAAAATATTGTTCATATTTGCACAATAGAACATCAACTGTTGAATTACATTAAATAAATTACATTCATAGTTAATTGCATTCAATATACATTAGGCTTTCATTTTCGATTTTTTACTACTCCTAAAGACGTCTCTGTAATCGGCTCTGTCTTGGCCGATAAGGAAGATCTCTTACAAATAACTACGTCACCGGCGTCATCTACTTATCATCCACTTCTCATTGATCATCACGTTATCCAGACCACACGCGTAGGCCGCTATAAGAGAGGACGCTCTGTCCGCCATTACGTAACATAATTTTTTTTCTCTATATTACCATGGCTTAAAGTAACAAATTTCCTAGATAAATGCTGTAAATAATAAGTGTTAAGTCGTTTAGTCTTAATTAAATCATGTATAGTGATTAATCAAATCATTCCTTTAGTGTATTAAATTAAAGTGTTCAATCAGAAGGTAATCTTTTAATCCAAGTTCTACATCTCCCAGACCTATGGATCGCATATGTATTTCAAACATTCTTATTTATGCAGTTTATGATTAGTTAAGGATCAAATATCGGTCATATCTTGTATATGGCGCGAGGACACGGATAGAAGGTTGTATAGCGGTCAAACCGCGACATCAAAAATTAAAAATTATATAAAAGAAAGTGAAGTGAGAAAGTCGGTATAGATACGAAAAACTAAATGCAGATTTGAAAATTCCGATAATGAAAAATTACTAATTCCCCATCCGAAATTATGAAAATTACACCTCAAAGAGTCGATCTACCTCGGACTTGGGCCTATTGTAAAAACTTGGTGATCACCTCCTTCAAGCTGACCTTCAGGATTTAAGATGGATTCATAGGATGCTTGATCCAGGTGTTCCGGAAGTTGATTCATCGAGAAATTCATAGTTGATTGCTTATTGTAGGGATGTGCACGAGCTTGTAAAGTTCGAGCGCTCGCGATCAAGCTCGAAAAATTGCAGCTCGAGCACGCTACAACGCAGCTCCGAACAATACGAGCGCATCACGTACCAGTACGGCTCGAGTCTCTTATGATCCGAGCGTTCCGTACTCTGAATGAATCATTCAACATTAAATTTAGTGGTGAAAAGTGATTAATGTGTTATATAGGATTTTTTT